CTGTGTCTCTCTCTGTCAAATAAATAAATAAAATCTTTAAAAAAAATTTTTTTTAAAAATCCTATATTCCAAACCAATACAAGCATTGCAAGTGACATATTCTTAAACCTAACTGACATCATATCTAACAAAAAAAAAGTCATAATATGAATATCTGTAATTGACTAACATAATTAAGTTGGAGGCCCACCAACTTGGTATATTCATATTTCTCTGGCTCCTCTTTGTGGCTAGAGATTACACCAAGTCTACCCCCCATTCAGCAGAGTTGGACAGGACCAATATATTTGGTGGTTTTACTTAAAATGTTTTGACACAAGTATCAAGGGATGTGAAAGTTCTGGGATTAACCTGTTCTTAATATTCTGTAAATGTATTTAATGCCACTGAATTAACTGTACACTTAAAAATATTTAATAATAAACATCATGTTATGTAGATTTTACCATCATTTTTTTAAAAAAGAAGAATCACTATTTTACATGTCTGTTTCAGAGCCACAGGGGACTCTGAAGCCTCTCTCAACATGAAGTAAAGCAGAATGCAGAATAAGGAAAAGACATGTGGGATACAAAGACATTTACAGTCCACTGATATCTGTGGAGGAGACAAAAGCATGGGGTTCTCCTATAAGCCTAGGAAGGCCCCATCTCTGGAAAGGTACACAAAGGACCTGTAGGCCTGCTGCCCCTGGGAGAAGGGACCAAGGAATGGGAGCACGAAGGAACTCACCTTTACCAAAGTCCTTCGGTTCGATTTGAAGGTTTGATCTTGCACATGTATTAACTATTCAAAGTAAACTAATTTTTTAAAGTAAAGATGCGTTTCTTTGGAGAAAAAAATTCAAGTAGAATTTTTTTTGTAGCTATACACATGCTGATTGTAAAATTTAAATGAAAAGGCAAAGGAACAAAACAGCTAAAAAAATTTTGAAAAAGAAGAGTAACAAAAGGAGTCATCACACTAACCAATTTTTAAGACTCACTATATAGGTACAGTAATCAACACAATGGGGACAGCAACACAGATCAATGGACAACAACAGAAAGCCCAGAAACAGATCCACAAAATTGCGGCAAATCAACTTTTGACAAACGTGCAAAAGCAATAGAGAAAGGAGAGTCTTCTCAACAAATGGTGTTAAAAGATTTGGACATCCAAATGGAATAAGAACCTTAACCTAAACCTCACATCTTATTAAAAAGAAAAAAACAGGGCGCCTGGGTGGCTCAGTTGGTTAAGCGACTGCTTTCGGCTCAGGTCATGATCGTGGAGTCTCAGGATCGAGTCCCGCATCAGGCTCCCTGCTCAGCAGGGAGTCTGCTTCTCCCTCTGACCCTCCCCCGTCTCATGTGCTCTCTCTCTCTTATTCTCTCTCTCTCAAATAAATAAATAAATAAAATCTTTAAAAAGAAAAAAGAAAAAGAAAAAAACATTATCACAATGGATTATAGATCTAAGTATAAAGCATAAAACTATAAAACTTCTGCAAAGAAACACATGAGACAGTACTTGTGACCTGAAGTTAAACAGTGAATTCTTAGACACCAAAAGCACTATCTAAAAGAAAAACTGGATAAACTGGCTTCAATAAAATTAAACATTTTTGCTCTGCTAAAAGAAACATTAAGAGAATGATGAGACATGACAGCTACAAACCAGAAGAAAATATTTACAATCCACATAGCTGACAAAACCTCCTATCTAGAACTCTAAAAACATCATCAGCCATTAAGGAAATGCAAATTAAAACCACAATGAGATACTACTACACATCTATCAAAAAATAGCAAAAATTACAAATCATGACCATACCAAAACTGACAAGGATGTAGAAAAATTGGAACTCTCACAACTGATGGGGAGAATGTAAAATGGTATGGCTGCTTTGAAAAATACTTATTTTTATAACCATCAATCCCACCTCTGGGCATCTATCCCTGAGAAATAAAAATTTACATTTACACAAAATCCTAGGCATAAATGTTCATAGGAGCTGTAGTCATAACTGCTAAAAAACTGGGACCAACCCAAATATCTTCAACGGGTGAATGGGTAATCACTGTGAAACACCCCACAAAGGACTAGCACGCAGCAATTAAATGCAACAAACTGCTGACACAGGCAAGAACTTGGATGAATCACAAAAGCTTGTGGGAAGTTTTGGGGGTGTTGGAACTGTTCTGTGGCCTAATTATGGTGGTAATTACATGAACCTATACATTTCCTGAAATTCACAGAAATGTACACAAAATGAAAAAAAGTTAATTTTTTTGTATAATTTTAAAAATCAGGTTTAAAAAGAAAAAAAATAAACAAGGTAGGTAATACATACCAAGACTACCAGTCTGCTTCTTTCACAGATTCCAGGAAGGTAAGGATAGGGCGGCATTCCTTCACCCTTCAAACAAGAACTCACCCACTGATAAATACTTGGTGGCTCAGAAGTAAAAAATGATGGATGATGCATAAATCCTGTTTGACCTTTAGAATTAGATAAACATTTATAAAGACACAAGAATACATTAAGATAATACCATTTTATTCTTTTTTTTTTTTAAAGTAGGTTCCATGACCAGTGCGGAGCCCAACATGGGGCTTGAACTCACAACCGTGAGAGGAGGACCTGAGCCAAGATGAAGAGTCAGATGCTCAACCAACTGAGCCACCCAGGCGCCCGACAATACAATTTTATTCTAAAGGGAAAATAATCAGTATCTGCCATTCGGAAACAATCAGAATAACATTTTTCTCCAAAATACTTCATGTTTTCTGTCACAGAAAATGACTGACCATATTATAATATGTAGAATGTAAATGACTACTATCTTATTCCATTCTCGATGGAAATTTAGCAAATTCTTATACCCAAGGTATATGAAGAATCTAACCAAAATTTTGTACCCTAATCCTAAAGGAGAGAAAACAAGAGAAACCTAGGATTCCACTCTAACAATTGGGCCCCGATCTTGAGACACTGTAGTTCAAGGTCTAAGGCAATAGAGTGGTGACGGAAATGTTCTATACCTGTAATATCCAATATGGCAGCCACTATCCTATGTGGCTACTGAGTACGTGAAATGGGGCTAATGCAACTAAGGAACTGAATTTTCAGTATGAATTAATTTAAATAACATATGGTTATTGGCTACTGATTAGACAGGTCTAGGGCAAAGCATCCTTAGCACTTGGGGATGGATAAAACTTTTCCCACACACCAAAGAGGTTGTTATCTCTTACTGTAAGTCAGAGATCAAACACTACAAACTGAAATCTACCTGATGGAAAAATACCACCTCTGACTTAGAGAGTAAGGTAAGAAGCACAGTGCTATTCATCAAGAAAGATACAAGCAAACGTCACTCACCATTTAGATAATCTTTAATGGCACAAACACTTACCTTGATCAATTGTGCACACTTGTCCAGTGGTTCTGACAAGTGTTGGGTAATCTCTATAGTAATGATCTACATAAGGCTCCAATTTTAAATCCCTAAAACAATAAGAGCATATAAAAAAGAAATCACAAGAAAGGTATTAGAGCATTTTCCCCCACAGAGTTAGGATTCATCAGTTCAACTTTTCAATTTAAAAAACTTATGACAAAGAAGATAATCAAATCTAGAGTCCTTTTATTCTATTTCTGGACCTTGAAGTGCCCAATATAACAAACGCAGCCCAAACTTTTTGCTAGATAAATTTTATGGAGGTTAAACTAGTTTCTCCATTATTTGTTAGTTCTGTTGTCTTCAGCAAGTTATCTCTACGAGCCTCAGTATTTTCTTCCAGAAAGTAGATAAATCCTCCTTCACTCAGTTTTGAAGATTAAATAAGAAATATTATGTAAAAATTAGCTTTAAAAATATAAAACATTATAAAAATGTTATTTCAGAAAGTCATGATTAGAGTTCGGAAGTCATTTCATTACAAAAGAATTTTCATGCTAGTAATGATTCGTCATAAGAGAAACTGACCATCAATTAAAACTGCCACTTTTCAGAAAAGAATTTCAGAGTCTCAAGGAAGAGCATAGAAATTAGAAAGTGTGCTATAATCTTAACTCAAGAGTTTGACATTTCAATTCAAATTCGACTTTATTACCAAGGGTCACAAAGGCTGAAATAGCACCTAAATATGACCTTCAGAATTCAGTGCCGAACACAATCTTATTGTGGATACACTACAAGAGCCTCAAAGACAGGGATAACCACAGACTGAGACAACAAAAACACAGCAAAAAGAACCCTCAACTAGCAAACAATATTCATGTTCTTAGGAACAAACTTAGAAAAGTTTCATCATCATTAAAACAGGGATCCTAATACCTACAATTCATATATGTAAACTATGATTGTGTTAACTATATCTCCTATTTGAATTTAGGTATTACTATAAAACAGCAGGTGTTATACAATGCCCACCATAGTGTAGCCAAGTCAGCTTGTCAAAATGAAGAGCTGAAAAGGTCACCTCCATTGTTTAAGACACATTTATGACTTCCCACTAATCTTAGGATAAAGACTAAGAACCCCATAACAGCCCACAAGGCCTTTACATAGCCAATACCTTCAAACACTCTATGGTTTATAGAAAATGCTCTGATTTTCTGAAAAGGTAGATTTCAGAAATTTATTTGCAAGGTTCCTATATGATATTCATGGCTGAGATCAAGTCATCTAAGGACCTCTTGGTAGTTTCTAATCTACAAACAATATTTACCTTGCCAACTGAACAAGAAGGCCAACAAGTGAACGAATTCCTTCTCCCATTAGAGTATTCAACTTAAGCTCCTCATAGACAAGGTGAAGAACAAAAAATATTGCAGGTATATGAGTAAACAGAAGTGTAGAAGAATCCAGAATGAGATTCTGTGAAAAATCCTCATCCTTCATCTGTGAAACTTCCAAAGGACTTAAACATAAAGATCTATTCAAAAGATGAGACTCAACATTCTGGTGGTAGTCTGAATTTAGTAAATACTCCCAGTCCTGAGAAAAATAAAGAAGATATTATTTTTTTAAATAATGCCTCCTTGTAATGTCATCATTAAAACAATTCAAGTTCTATTTTCACATTAAGTTGGAAAAAAATCACAATGCTTAAAAATCAGACCCACATCAAAATAGCTAAGCAATTTCCAGATGCCAGCAACAGACATTAAGACAAACCACTTTTCAAAACCCATTTGAAAAATTTTAGTCATGCCCTATTAGGAAAGAGACTGAAAGAAGAATCCCACTATTTACAGAGATTGAGAAAGAAAATTAAGATTATCTTAGGTGATTTCTTATGAAGCCAAAAGTAAAGAATAAAAGGTGGGAAGTGTAGATAGGCAAGTTTAGTGACCACTACACTGATCTGTGTTTTGGGAAGGGGAGAAGTCTACTTGTATCCAGTTAGTATATTCATCTATGTTTACAGGATGCTGGAGCTAGCAATTACAAACCAATAACCAACTGAATTTTGTATTCACACTGATTGTACTCCATTTTCCAAGTACTGAGTCTGTTTTTGTTTTTACTTTGATTTATTACTGTGTTGAGAGAATATGATTTATGCTATTTTCAGGTCCTGGAATTTACTGATGTTTTTGTAAGGTTTAATACAGTGTGTTATTCTAACTTAAACACTCTTGGACCAGATACAGAAAAAACAAACCATAAAAGTAAAAAATTGGTAAGATGAGTAACTAAAATTTTTAAAAATCTGTTCATCATATACCAAGAGAAAATATTCCCAAAACATACACAACAAAGAACTCATATCCAGAATATACCAAAAACTTCTACAGCTCAATAAATATTTTTAAAAATCCAATTAAAAAACTGTAAAAAGTTTGAGCAGAAACTTGACGAAAAGATATATAAGTAGCTAATAAGCACATAAAGAAGTGTTTAACAACATTAGTCATGAGGAAAAGGCAAATTAAAACCTAAGAGAAACTACTTTATACACTCAAATAGTTAAAATGAAAAAGACTGACAACAGCAAATGCTGGCCAAGATGAAGAACAAGAGAACTCTCATTTATCACTGGTCAGATTGTAATGTAGTGTAATGAGTCTGGGAACCAGCACTGATCCATCAATTTCACTGGAAGGTATTTACCCAGAAGAAATGAAAATATATGTCCACAAATACTTGTCAATGAATACGGATGGCAGCCTTATTCATAATAACCAAATAATGGAAATAGCCTAGGTATCCATCAGCAGAAGAATGTATAAATGAACTATGATATATGCACACTACTCAGCAATAAAAGGCACAAACTGCTGATATCTGCAACACCTGGGATGAATCTCAAAAACATCACGCTAAATGAAAGAAACCTTTATACCAAAGATTATGTACCACATTAATTCATTTATACCAAGCTCTAGAACAGGCAAAACTAACTTATAGTGATAGAATTCAAATCAGTGGTTGCTTCAAGAATAGAGGAAGGGAAGGAAGGGAATGATTAAAAATGGCACATGGAAACTTCACGGAATAACGGAAATGTTTTGTGTTTTGAGAGGGGTATGGGTTACATGAGTGTTTATTTGTCAAAGTTGATCAAACTGTAAACTTCAGATCTAAGCATTTCGTTTATGTAAATTATACCTCAATTTAAAAAAATTTTCTTAATCACTTAAGAATATACCCATGGAATCAAGTATGATTGAGAACCTAAATCAGAGAATTAATTAGCAGTAAAATCGCTACAAATCCAAACTCAAATCATGCATATTATCTATGTTCAGTAATTTTTAGATGATCATTAAAGACAAAAGTATAGGAATAACCACAGAAAACCTAACATATCCAACCTTCAAGATAACTGCTATTCAGTATTAAAATGAAGCAAAAGGTGTCAGAAATATACACAAATCAACAAGAGTACCACGTCTGTAGATTCTAGTACAAGTACCCACAAATTAATTTGTAGTAGCAAGAAGTAAGAATGCTTACATCATCAGATCCTGTCTCAGAAGGCCTTGCTTTTTTGGGTGCAATGACTGGGGAAAGTGATCCTTCAAAGTCAAACTGAAAGACAACCCCAAAAAAGATAAAATCATATAAATTAACTGATCAACTCAAAGAATTCAGATATCAGTTTCACCAATTATGGAAACTAAGGAAAGTCACCAAAACTCATTTTTTCATCTGGAAAAACATGGTATGAATACTTTTCCTCTCAGATTACTGTGAAGAAGAAATGAAATCACAGATGGAAGGCATCTAGTACAGTGCCTCAGCCCACAGGCACTGCAATGGTGGTTTCCTTTCCTCCCCGACTTCTGTGATGACACAGATCACCACTGCTTTAGTAGAACACGGATCTTTAGCCATATCCCAAATATGCTAAGTATAACCCAATGTTAGCCAAATGTCAGAACCAAGCAGACATTTATTTAGAGTCTGTCTTGTCTATAGAGGACAGGCTAACAATTCTATGGCAGAGACAGGTAGCTACTCTTCAGAGTTCTCCTCTTTCTCCTGGACCCACAGCCAGGCTACATATCCCTGCCTCCCTCAGAGTTAGGTATGGCCCTGTTACAGTGTGACAATGAATGAAAGTGGATGTTAGGGATGCCTGGGTGGCTCAGTCGGTTAAGCATCTGTCTTCAGCTCAGGTCATGATCCCAGGGTCCTGGGATCAAGTCCCGCATCAGGCTCCTTGCTCAGCGAAGAGTCTGCTTCTCCCTGGCCTGCCACTCCCCTTTCTTGTGCTCTCTCTCTCTGGCAAATAAATAAATAAAATCTTAAAAAAAAAAAAGGAAAGAAAGAAAGAAAGTGGATGTTATCACTTCCAGGCCCTGTTCATGAAAAACTCCTGTGTATGCTCCTCCAGGCACTTCTCCCTTGTACCTGACTGATAGAGTCAACCCCAGGGCAATCTTTGAAGCCTCATGTTGAAGATGGCAGATGCTCCATCAGCCTGGGTCCCTAGTAACTGTGGAGCCTGTTCACCTGCTAAGTACTGTTATAGGAGCAAGACTTACATTTTTATTGTGTGAGCTATTACATCTTTTGAGGATTTTGTTATACACAGCCTATCCTAACTATTACAGTTACATAAAAGCACTTTTCTCAAAGTTCACTCTTACTCAGTTCCCCCGGCATCACCTTTGCCACCTCTGCTACTTCACATGGGCACTGAACTACCAATTCATCAACCATAAGCCCATAAATGGCAATGGCTATTTTCCGATGTTTTATTATAAAAACTTACATATTTGTCAATCAGTATCACTCATATGAAAGTTGATTTCTATATAAAAACTAAAGATAGACAGCAACAAAGTAATTTTTTAAAGCTGAATACTTATATTACAATATTTCAATATTTAATAAATATAAGACATTTAAATATTAAATATAAAATGGAATAAAGTAGCTTTTAAAACTGAGTAATTTTTAAAACTGATCATGAGAAAAGGTTTTCTCGTGAAGCATTCAAAGAAAACACAGTCCAACTCACACACAATACTATCAAAAAACAAAATGACAAGAGTAAAATCAAAGCAACAGATGCATTTCTGTTAGCTATCTCACCGAAACCTTCAACCAAAACTTAGCACATATGTGCACACCTACATACACACATTCTCTCTCTCTCTCACATATTCTAAGCACCACAATCACAAAGAATGTCCTTGCTATAGTTACATTTATAAGACCTAGAGTTATGAAAAACAACAGAAATTATCTGATACAGATACCTCTTTGTGGCATATATGGATCTATTTTATTTTCATTATTTTAATATTCTGCAGGTTACCCAACCCTGTTATACGCTTCTGTAGATCCCCGACCTTTATCATAAACTGACGTAAAATACTTATCTGCCTTCTCCTGAGACTGTCGATTCCATGAGAGGAACTATCTTGCCTAATGAATATCTGAAAAGCCTGGCATCATGCCTGGCCTTCAGCAGAGGTTCAACTTCTAACTAATGAAAATATGACCATCCTGAAGGACACAAAATGTTAACCCCAGATGCAACCATTCACAGAATGTGAGAACCACAAGGAAACATCATCTGAGTCCAGTGCTCTCATTCAACACATCAGTAAATTAAGGAAGGCCCAAAGAAATGCCAAAAATCATGTAACTAGACATTGGCAAAAATTCTGTACTCCCTACTCTCCACCCCATTATTTAAATGAAAACAAAAAAGGATATATCTGAACAAAGCAAAATTAAAGCCATTTGCCATTGAGGACCATTTCATCCTGAGCTTCGATGTAAGGACAAAAGAATAGCAAGGGTTTAATTATGCAGTCCTATAAATAAATGTGAAAGCAGCTCAGCCTCAGAACTGATTTCTTTATTCCCTCTTTTAGGACTCTTATCCAATAAATAAGTCAGAGAGCCCCATCCTTCTCTATGAAAGAAAAAATGGTAGGTGCTCTGTCTTCCCCCTAACATGGAAACCTGAGGGGTACCTGGTTCTCCGCTAGAGGATGGAGCACAACAGCCTGTATTCATCCACAAGTTCCACAGCCCAGTAACACACAACTACACAAAGCTGAAGCACTGCAGAAATCCTTAGTTTCTAGTAAGGCTCAATTTCTTCATATTTAATGAAGAATGGGAAAATGTGGAATAAAGTAGTTTTCATGCAACTATTTAAGAAAATTGTCCCTATTTTCCCAGGAAGGTTTTTCTCAAGGAAATTTCAGAGGGAAATTCTTTCATATCATAAAACAAACACAAATTCTTAAAAATAGTATTTCTTTTTTTTTTTAATTTTATTTATTTATCAGAGAGAGAGAGACAGAGGCAGGCAGAGGGAGAAGCAGGCTCCCCGCTCAGCAAGGAGCCCGATGTAGGACTCGATCCCAGGACCCTGGGATCATGACCTGAGCCGAAGGCAGACGCTTAACCGACTGAGCCACCCAGGGGTCCCTTAAAAATAGTATTTCATTCAGACGTAAAAGAGCATTCATTCCACAAATTCACTGAGCATCCATCTATGCCAAGCACTACTATAGGTCCTAGAGATAGTGAACAAAACTAAACAAAAATCCCTGCTTACACAAATTCACATTCTAGAAGGAAGAGAGACACACAAGCAATATAAATAAGTAAAAATATATGGCATATTTAATTAGTGCTAAGGGAAAAATAAAACAGGTAAAGGGGATAAAAAGTATGGGGAGGGGTAACAATTCCACATGGACAGAGCAGGCTGCACTGAGGTGCCACCTGAAAAAGACCTAGGCTTGTCTTATCGGGGGGAAGGCTTTTTCTCCAGAGTTAACAGCAAGTGCAAAGACCCTGAGGCAGGAATACGCATGGTACGTTCCAAGAAGAGAAATGGAAGCCTGTGGAGGGGGGACAATGTGGGCAAGGCAGGGATGAGGAGACAAGATGAGAGAGGTAAGAGAGGGATGGGTCACATGGCACCTTGCAGGCTTCTGGCTTTTACTCTGAATAGGAAGGGAAGGCACTGGAGGATTCTAAGCAGAGTGACATGACCTGACTTTGTCAGACAGGATTACTTTGGCTGTTGGGCAGAGAAGAAAATGAAACATAGGCAAGGACATGAAATGTGAGTCAAAAATTAACAACTACAAATGACCATGAGAGGGGCTCCCGGCTGGCTCAGCCGGTGGAGCATCCAACTCTTGATCTCAGGGTCCTACATTGGGCATGGAGCCTCCATAAATAAATAAATAACCAATGAGAATCTGAAAAACCCATTACCGTTTACTTAGACAGGAATAAGAGAAAATGTCTCACTAAGGTGGCAAAGGTTCACCACACCACAAATCATCACTATGCTGAAATGGGCACTTCTAAATGAAGCTAGTGAGAATGTCAACTGGGCAACCCTTTTTGAAAATTATTTGACTTAGTAATAGCTCTTCTAAGGTTAAGTTCTTAGGAAATGACTAGAGCTGTAAAGATCTGTGTTTGCAAATTATTCCTAATGAGAAAAGAAACTGATTTAACAATGTTCTGTTATTAGTTGTTGGTTAATTATGATAAAACCACATGGTAGCCTATTATTAAGATTATAAAATGGGTTTTGCCTAAGAATATTTTTTTAAGATTTTATTTACTTATTTATTTGACAGAGAGAGAGCACAAGCAGGGGAAGCAGCAGGCAGAGGGAGAGGGAGAAGCAGGCTCACTGAGCAGAGAGCCCGGTGCGGGGCTCAATCCCAGGACCTTGGGATCATGACCTGAGCCAAAGACAGATGCCCAACGACTGAGCCACCCACGCGCCCCAGGAATTTTTAATGATATTGGAACTTTTCATTTATATTGTGTTTATTTAAAGGGCAATACAAAGACATTCAGAGTGGTTATCTGAGCCGTATTATTTTCTTCTTAATTCTTCCATTTTCCAGATTTCCCTCAGTAAGAATGTACGTTCATAATGAAGAAAAAAATGATTTTTTAAATGGATTTACTACTCTAAGACTAAAATGTACAGCTGAGCTACCCAGACAAAGGTAAGTGTGTTCTAGAATGATTTGTTCAGAGTGACCCAGGCAAGGTTGTCCTGGGAGTTATCTCTAGAGCCAAAAGGAATCACCAATACTGAAGACACTACTCTGCTGGTTTTGTCAATAACCTGTTAAAGGTCTGTAAGAAAGCTTCTGGGGTAGAGAGAGAGGGATACAGCTTCACATCATTAACAGAGTAGATACTTAGGCTAAAGCCTTTTAAATTGCCCTCAAATCAAACATTCCTCCCCAAAGACCAAGCAATTTGTTTATGAAAACAGTATGGACTACAGAGAAGAACACTAAGCCATGGTTCAGAAGACACAGTCTAGGCCCTGTTTTGAGCAAATCACCAGTCTGTGTTCTCTCTGTGATTCAGTTTCTTCATTAATAAAAAACCAAGATGATTACTACTAATCCTAGCATAACTTGCAGTCATTTTACAAAGATGAAATGAGAAATTATAGTCAAACATGCTTTCCCATGTTATAAAACTCAGCATTACAATTACCAGTAAAACATTATCATTACATATTAAATGACATGTGATTTACCATATAGATAGATAGACACAATAAGCCTTAGTATTATTCCATTTTGTTGATTAAGGTCTACCTAGTAGTAAACTGATCTGTTATGTACTCTAAATACTATATTACCAATTATGCAAACATTACATTGGTAACAACAGAATAACTCAGGAAAAAAAAAAAAAATTATATGTACTTACATTTCGGGTCCATGCTAAGCGGTCTGTGTTATAACCCATCATGTTCATGAGACAAGTCACAAATAAATTCCACTCGGAATGATAACTGGGTCCTCCCGGAGCACTGTGGACACTGTACCACTTGACAAGCATCTGAACAGCTATTTCCTTTGGCAGGATAAACTTAATTGCTTGCAAACATGTTTGCACTATTAAAAGCAAAGATTAATTTTAGTATGCTTCCCATATGTATTTCTTTTCCCCTTTTAATAAGAAAGGTTTTTTTTAACTACTTCTGTGTAAAGGTCAATTACTCTGAAAAGAGAACTATCATTACAGAGCCAGCGGGACGCAAACATTCCCTGCCGATCACTTAAAACTTAAACCAGCTACTGAATTCAACAAGGATTGCAAGAGGTCTTAGGGCAGCTTTCAACCCACCAACAGTCCAGCTTACCTGAGACAGAACTGATTTATATCCACTGCCCCAGCAATGACTAATAGCTCCCCATTTTGCTCTCAAAAATACTCTAGTTTGGACAATAAATTAAAGGTCATTCTACCAAAAACATATAATTTCTACATGAATAAGTTTACACAAAATACTGCTGAAATACTTCAGTAAAATATGCAATACTCAATATATGCAACCTCAAATAGCAATGCTTAACTATCATTAAAAGATGTTCTCAATGAGTTAACATTCCTATTAACCAAAACTTTGTAACTTTGAATTATTTCTGACACCATTCACTTTATAAATGTTTTACGTAACGGATCAGCCAATAATATATAATTTATACCTTCCTTAGTGACTCAGTGCCGTTGTAGAAATATCAGTCACAGTGCTACACTGTCATGCTGCTGCACGGAAGAGCCCTGGGTCTGCTTTTCATAGTTAAATGGCCCCAAACTGCAATGTTTTTGTATTCTCACATCTTCTCTTTAGAGGATTCCCCTTTTCCCTTCCCACTGCCACTGTCACCAGGCCCATCCTCAGCAGCATATCCTTTCTCATCAATTGGCTATGTGTGTACACATACAGCAAAGATTAGAGTCAAATAGAATAAATGTTAGAAAACCAAATAACCAAGTTTGTCGTGGTTGAATCCAAAACAAGTGTAAACCAGATACCGCCTGAGGGGCTGAGGGATGTTTATAAGTAAAGTACAGAAACTTCCAAGTGAAGTACAGAAACTTATGTGACTTCTATTTGGCTATGAGAGAGTAAGATTTTACTCCCCTTTCATTTATTTTATTTAGTCCATTATTTGTTTTTATATATTTTGTTTAGGCTTATACTTCTAAGGTACATGGCCTTGAAATTATTGGCTAAATACCTCTTAGAAAAGCAAGGTATCTCTATACCTACTCATTGTATCATTTTACCAAACCAATGAAAGAAATTTCCTAAAATTAAAAAGTCATTCTACCCTACTTACCAAATTCCAGAAATCACACAATCTGCCAATGTTTTGCTTTGCCACTGAGATTTTGAAACTAATAGATGTTATGAATTTTCTTATACATTCTTAACTTACGATTGTTGACAAATCCTTTCAATTCTAGTTTTACTATTCTCTATTCAGAAATATTCTAGTATTTTCCAAGTTGTGTTTCAATAATAACTCAAGCAGACTCTAATTTTATTAAAATACACCTGACTGTATTTTGACTATAACATTAAGTTTTATTCAATTTGGCGATTATGTTAATTTCTCAATTTATATAACTGAGATATTTATTATATGATTAAAAGCCATCACATATGCCAAAAACTGTTTTAGTTGCTTAGGCTTCCTTGTTTCTCAGATTTTCTGGCAAGAGGCATGTCCACTCACTGCATGGCCTTCTTCAACATAAGAAATCTCAGAGAAACAGAACTAGCACATCCTTCAAATATACCCCTAACCTTAGAGCACACATGGAGTAGACACTGAAAAGTGCTCCCCAGCTCTTCACAGCTTCTCTGCAAAGTAAAAACCTCAATCCCACGCTTCAAAAACAGCAAATTTTTAAAAATCCCAATTACTATTGCAAACCAGCAAATACTACAAATCTTACCAATCAAACTGAGAATACATGGGAGGTCTGACCTCAATCATACCTAATTCAGAGGTGGCAATTTCAGGAATAGTGATCCTAACCATGGAGCCATTACTCAATTCCTAGGGGAAAGAACAGAAACAAACAGGAGCACATAAATAGAATTTGTGCATTCTAAGTCTTTGAGTGTCTTAAAAATGGCCATGCTTTATAAGACTGCCTGTCAAAGTAAAATTCAATAAAATAAATAAAAAACAAATATTTTTCAAATGGAACTGAATACTTCCAAATTTCAGAAACTGTAAATATGCTTATTTAAAAAACATTTCCAGGGGCACCCAGGTGGCTCAGCTGGTTGAGCATCTGCCTTCAGCTCAGGTCATGATCTCAGGGTCCTAAGATAGAGCGCTGCGTCAGGTTTCCAGCTCAGTGGGGCGTCTGCTTCTCCCTTTCCCTCTGCCTCTCCCCCTGCTCCTGCTCTCTCTCACTCTCAAATAAATAAATAAATAAAATCTTTAAAAATAAATAAAAACCATTTCTAAAAGTTCTTGTTTTAATGAAATGTTTAATTTTTACACATAAGTCACCATCACTAAAAAAGATTAACTTTTAATGAAAAGACAAAAATTCTATCAATATAAAATTCAACTATTTAAACAAGATTTGTTTTCCATGATTTTTAAATAAAGCAACTATAGAAAAGTTAAGCAGAATTAAAGTAAAATAGTACAAAAAATGACACATTGCAAGAGATTTTAAAAATCATAAAAAATGTTTGTTTTCATGATTCAGACAAAATCCTGCATTCTGACAAATTTGAAATGACAGTCATATTTCTTAGAGAGCTACCTAATCTTCTAAAACTAATTATACCTACCAGAGTTACTCTGTTACGGACAGGATCTCTTATAGAATGAATATAAGTTCCAAGCTGCTGGAAAGTACAATCCTCATTATAGAAAGAATCATGAAGTTTTGAAGAATCCCTTAGTTCTGGAACTGGGGAGAATAGAACCACCTATAAAAAGTCATAAATACAACACACGTGAAATATTTTTTGAGGAATTAAGGATAAAGAGATCTCTATTTGTACATGGTCTAACAACTGTACGTAATGACTTAAAATCATTCTGCTCTGGGTATGATGAAGTACCTTACAGCAGACCAAGATCCTCACCCAAAGCAACTAGAAAAGGTCAGTAAAACAGTAAAACATCTGATCAATAGCACTGGAGAGCTATGGAGACAACCTAGACCTGAGGGGCCAAGATCTAGGAGAGAAAGAAAGGAGTCACAGGGAGGTGGCCCAAAATTCTTATACCACTTTTCCTGCTCTTGGCATGTGCAATATTTGGTGGGGATTTGGTAGGGAGTATGGATACACTGAGTATGCAAGGAAGGCCAATGCTAAGAGGAAGAAGAGACAGCAACACTTCTGGCAATCTTAAAGAGCTAGACACATATAAACTATAACTTGAGGCAGCCCAGGCAGAGATGACTTGAGGATCTAAGACCCCAGAGGGAAAGGAGAGCACTGAGAAAGCAAAGAAACAAGACAGGTACATAGTGGTATCTCCCCTACAGCCAAATGCTTGTTCTGAAATTATGAGAACATTTACTTGCTCAATTGCAATTATGCAAACAAAAAACTTGAATGATCTTAGTTACTAATTACATGCAGATGCTTCCAGCTTTAGATCCAGTCCTAACCACTGACCCTTTTTATATTCCCATAATTCAAATTATAGGACATCTCTAAGTGAATAGCTTGTCAACACTGACAGCCCATCAAGTACAAGATTATTTATTATATTCAAGCTTCTACTCCTACAGCTGCCACAAAAACTGAGCTCCACTGGTCCTGAATCTAAGTCTAGTTGCACAATCAACCAGAGACGTGGAAAGCCATCGGCCAATGTGTAATACAATGATCTTGTGACCCCATGGCTACCACAGAGATACTAATCATTCCTGGGTTAATGGAATTCTAAGAAAGTTAGGAACCATTTTACATTATAAAAGACAAAAATTCTTCCAAATCACACAAAACCCTGACACTTCTCCAGCTCCCTTTTGAAAGTTCTGCAAATGTCCTGCTTTGAGGGAAAGAACTCAATGCTGCACATATTTAAAAAATAAAACCAAGGCCTAGACATTAACCAATACAATTAATTGCTTACACCAACCTTCACTTTCAACTTTCCCTAAACATCGGCACCCAAATGTCTCTCAAATACAGACCCCCCTTCTCCAGGCTTCCTAACTTGGTAAGCATGGCTGTCCACCTAGCTTGCTCAGAGAACTCTAAGCCTTGTTCCCCAACACAGCACAAAACCAATCAGCTGACAGACTCTGCCATTTCCACTTCTCCAGACCTCTCATGTCACTGCCCTCCTTTCCAATATGCTGCCATAACTCGGATTCTCTTCGCGCCTCTTGAATTAACACAAAAAACAACACTTGGAATCTCTTTGGTCTAAGTCCCAAGATAAACATCTAAAACACAGAGCCTAACATTCATAACTCCATCCTCAAAAGCCTGTAATGTTCTGGTGATAGCATTCAGAATAAAAACCTTTTCATCCTTTCTACCTTTAAGAACATGTTAGTAAGAGTGTAAATCCCAGCTCTAACACTTACTAGCGATATGACTTTAGACAAGTAACCTCCTTATACCTCTATTACCCATTTGTAAAATGGGGAGCAGTACCTTCCCAACAAAGCCATTCTAAGGAATTAAATGAGTTAATACATATAAAACACTTAGAACAGTGCCTAGCACATAGAAAACACTCAAAAACAAGTTGTTATTACCCATTCCCTGCCCTGCCCCACCCAACAGGCAACTTGTACTTTTATAAGCATTCATTTATTCCACAGACTTGAGTCTTATATGCTACACGATAGAAATATGAATATGCATAAGAAATGTTCTGCACTTACCTGCCTCCACACCCATTTCCCACGTGATTCCTCTTTGCCCCAAATGCCCCTTTCCATCTACAGATATCCTACTTATCCTCAAGGTCCAAACCAAGTCAGACAAGCCCCTCAGATATGAGCCTCTGGTTCTGCCACATCAACCCATCAGGATGTATCCTCCTATCAGCGAATCTGCTGTGGTACTCTCTGTTCCTCATTCATAAGTCTTAATAGCCTACCTCAAATTATAATTTCTCATGCAGACAGTACATCTGTTCCACCCAAATCAATTATGAGGTTCCTATATGAAAAAGAATGTCTCATTCTCATCTCTGTAGTACCTTACACATACAAGGGAGGTCAGTATGTTTACTGAATCATTTGGGTTTGAAAATATGTATATTCTACCAAATATTAACTAAACTTCCAATTCTGTCATTTTTAAAACAAAAAAGTTTACCATGGGAAGAACTAATATTTGAACCAAACTTCTTTAAAATACTATTTTTTAAATTTTATTTAAATATTTTATATTTTTATTTTTTAATTTAAATCCAATTAATTAACATACGGTACAATATTAGTTTCAGAAGTAGAGCTCAGTGATTCATCAGTCTTATATAACACCCAGGGCTCATTACATCACATGCCCTCCTTAATGCCCGTCACCCAGTTACCCCATCCCCCCCACCCCGCTCCCCTCCAGTAAACCTCAGTGTGTTTCCTATGATTGAGAGTCTCTAATTTTTGACAACACCTAATTCATTACTCACCTCATCCAAGGATCCAAGTAGTTTACTAAGAGGCTTAGGAGTACCAACACTGTCAAGTGGAGTGCTGGGCCGAGGCATCGTGGCAGACATTGTCAGGGAGGGGGCTGGCAGTCCAGGAATAAAAACCTTTCCCACCTTTAAGCAATAAAAAGATATGGGGAAAAATACTGGCTTTAATGTGTCATATCCTTAAATAAAACATTATTGCATGTAAGCATAAATTTCTTTTGATATTCCACATTTTACACACACTGAACACATCTAAAAAATGAAAAGAAATAAAATTTCAGTAATTCCACCATCCAACTACAAATATCTTGGTATAGTTTCTCTTGGTCTGATTCCTTCTCTTCATTATGGAGCACTTATTTCGGGCAGGAAAGTGGGTGAATGCTAGTATGGTCAGAACATAACACAAAATCCCATATACTACGCATTTTCCTACTGTATTGGTGGTAGAGACAGCAGGGACACTAAGCTTGCAGAAACTATAAGCAGCAATCTTGTTAACGAAATCTCCGGGCAGAGAGAACAAACATCAATTACTTCCAAGGCGCTAAAAAAATGAAGCCGACTGATGCTCCAGAAATTAAATCCAATGTAATCCAAACTGGGCTCTTAAACTCATAATCTGCCTTCTTCCCTCAAATACTTCCTCAAAACACTTTATATATACTCTTCATTAAAAGAGTGAGTGGATAATCCATGCTAGCCACCCCTTATTTTGGCTATCCATGGGGTTCTCAGGAAAAACACAAGAGAAGTTCAGATCCACACAGGCCGAAAACTCTGATAAGACTCAAAGGAAATATTCAGAACGCAAGTGAAATCATAGCAAAACCCATATTTATGTCCATATACTACCCAAACCTAATAAAATTACAAAGTTACCCAAATAAAATCCTCAGGATTAGAAAACAAAATGAGGGTGGAAACCAGTATATATAAAGTTTTTAAAAAGCTACAAGAGGGCGCCTGGGTGGCTCAGTCAGTCAAGTGTCTGCCTTCAGCTTAGGTCATGATCTCAGTGTCCTGGGATCGAGCCCGGTGTCAAGCCCCACATCGCCACATGGGGCTCCCTGCTCAGTGGGGAGTCTGCTTTTCCCTCTGCCTCTGCCCCTTCCCCTGCTCATGCTCTCTCTCAAATAAATAAAACCTTTTAAAAAATGAAATAAAATAAGCTACGAGAGACCTCCAGTTAATGAAAATATGGAGTATGCACATTTCATGCTATTCTTCCCACTATTTACAATAGAATCTGCACAAAATTTATAATGCAGTGGAAGACTCTGAAAGGTGAAGAAAAGAAGACACTGGCTAGAGACGTGAGAACCAGGAATAACCTATGATGAATTCCCTAGGCGTTTTTGTTTCTTTCACTCCATAACCACTTCTTGAGCTCTCAAGGGGCCTGCAACCCAGAAATGGCCACAGGTGCAAACCAAGAGAAACCCTGCTCTTTTTAGACAAAGTGTCAGGAAAAGAGGGACCAAGCAAGACAGACATCTTCACCATACCTGCCCCACTCCAGGAAACACTAGGAAAAAAGCCATGGCCCTCAGTTTCCTCCATATCAGGAGCTGTGGCCTGGAGACTATGCGCAGAGTTCTATCATTCCCTCTACGAGGAGTAGGTGGCATCCCTCCCCGAGCATAGGGACTGTGGGGCCAGGCCTATTTTGCACTGTGGTAACTAGGTGGTATCTCCTCCCCTCTTCATCAGGCACTGCAGGTGCAGAGACTATGAACAGAGCGCTGCTGCTTTCATTGCCAAGAGGCAGCCCCTCTGCACCTCCCCATGGTGTGCAAAAGCTATGAAGGGGGAGGAACACTGGCTTTCATCCTTACTCTACCATAGTAAGGCAGCATACCTCTCCCCATCTATCCTCCACAGAAATTACGAGTGGAGGGAGTGCCGTGTTCCATCCCCACCCTGCAATAACAAGGCAGTAACCCCTCTCTGTCCCATCTAGGGAGTGAGAGGAAGAGTGGAAAGGAAGTAAGAAAAGGACTTCTTAAATATGTGTATGAAATCCTGGGCAGGTCTCTGAGTGAACTATGTGTGAAACTGACCAACAATGACACAGTAAAAGATCTGAGAACTAAACACTGATCTATAACACCATTCAGTTCTCAGGCTGGCGTCTGGGTAGCAAAGAAGTGGGGGGAGACCACAATCTCATTAAGAGAGCAGACAAAAACAGGCCCCAGAAATACCTCTCTCCTTGGCCAAAAAAATCAGGAAAGGAATAGCTTAACAAGATCGAAAACTTTTAGACAATAAGCGATATACTCCAGACAAACACCATGGGAAAAACTGCGTCCCACCTCTCAGTCCTGTCAGCAAAGGCCACATGGGGCGCCTAGACTTCCATTCTCACGTGGCTTTAACAAGGCACCAATTTGGGGGGGGTGGGGGAAGAAAAAACGAATAGTACTATGGATTCACAAGAATTTTACATAAAGCAGCATTCGGAACTCTCACACACTGTTGAAGGCAAGGAGTAAGGGGAGATGTTGTAAACTGGTACAACCTACACCTTAGAAGACAATTTGGCACCCCCACTCCCCGGCCATGGCCAAGCTGAATATGCATATACTCTGAAGGTTAAGAGACGTGTTTAAGAATTTTTTAAAGCATTACCAGAGGAAACAGTAGAAGCAACATAAACATCCCAGTGATGATAAAATGGTAAAAGTTTTGGTATAACCATACAATGGACTACTATAGAACAGTGAATGAATAAACAGCAGCTACACATGGACATAGATAAATCTAAAAATAGTAATAATGTTGAGCAAAATAATGAAGTCCAGAGAAGACCATATGGTATGATTTCCTTTATATAAAAAGTCAAATTTAAGGAAAACTAAACAATTTACTCCTTAGTGACATGTACATAATTGCAAAAAAGCTTGTAATAAAAACAAGATTTACTGCAAAAAGCCAGGACAGTGTCTATCCAAGGGGAGACAAGGAGATGAGGATGCAGTAAGGAAACAGCACCCTACAGACTATAAAGATACTGCCAATGTTCTAGTTCTTAACCTGGCAGTGGTCATAGGAAAGGTCACTTCATTAGTCTTTAAATTGTGTATATGTATTTAAGTTTCACAATTTAAACTTTTTAAATTTACATAATTCTGTATGTAAATTCCAAAACTGTTAAAAAAAAACTATATGGTCAACATATTACACATTTAATGAAGCTTTACAAAAACTTTGAGACTTAACAAAGTACACATACATCAATTTCAAAACTACATTCTTTATAAAACTTCAGGTTAACTTTTTTTTTTTTAATACTCTACCTATATTCATTAATGATTCCCCATCTGTGTCAGATAGCACCAATCCATCTCATGGCAGTGAGTCCTAGGCCTCCAAATTGGGACCAAGCTAAACTGGAGACTTCATTTTCAACTCTTAGAAAAATCTTCTGCCAAATCCTACAGCCAGGGGGTCACTAATATTAAACATTAGACTAAATATTAAAAAATAATAATCAGGGGCGCCTGGGTGGCTCAGTCAGTTAAGTGTCTGCCTTCTGCTCAGATCATGCTCCCAGCATCCTGGGATCAAGCCCTGCGTCTGGCTCTCTGCTTAGTAGGGAGCCTGCTTGTGCCTCTCCCCTCCCCCTGCCTGCCATTTCCCCTGCTTGTGTTCACACTCTGTCAAATAAGTAAATAAAATCTTTAAAAAAAGAATGTTTAAAAATAATATCAAGGAGGCGGTCCTACAAAAGGATGAAATGCTACTTACTACTCACCCGAACCACTCCTGTGTACAGCACCAGGTTTCCACTGCCTTCAAGGACCAGCATGGTATCTATCTTCTACGAGAAAGACAAAAATTTTATTTGCCAATCTGTGCAAATTATAAAACATAATGATTTTCAACTTCTCAAGAAATGTGCCTGCATTTACCTCCACTGGCGCTGCATCCTTTGCATGTATGTTGGTGATGGAGCCAAAGATGAGCTGAGTTTTATCATTACTCTCTTGAAACTTTACACAGCTAAATATTAAAATAAAAAGAGAAACAAACTACTGATATGTCCAACAACTTAAAGTGATCTCAGAGGTATTGTGCTGACGGGGAAAAGTCAATTTTGAAAGATTACATATTGTATGATTCCATTTTGTAACACTTTCAAATGACAAAATTATAAAAATGGAGAACAGATTAGTGGTCACTAGGGGTTAGGGATGGGGGTGGGTGGGTTTGGTGTATGGGACTATAAAGGAGTAGCCATGAGGGACATCTTTGAGGTAATAAGAAGTTCTATACCTTGACTGTGGTATTTGCACAAATCTACACATGAGAAAACTTCATGGAATCATATAAACACACACAAATGAGTACATGTAAAACTGATGAAATCTGAATAAGGTGTGTGGATTGTACTGGTGTCAATTTCCTTGTTTTGATAATGTACTATAATTATATAAGATGTTATCTCTGGGGGATAAAGAGTGCAGGGTACACAGGACTGTCCCCCTACTATTTTGCAACTGCCTGTGTTTTATAATTATTTCAAAATAAAAAGGTAAATAAGTGGACAAAAGATCTGAATACACATTTTTACCTAAAAAGATAAATGATTGGCCAGTAAGAACATGTGAAGACGCTCAACATCATAGGTCATTACGAAAATGCAAATTAAAAACACTTCACACCCACTAGAATGGCTACAAAGAGACGGACAACACGATAAAGAAACTGGAAGCCTCATAGATTGCCAGTGGGAATATAAAAGGATGTTGTCTATTTGGAAAACAGTTTGGCAACTTCTTAAAAAGTTAAACATGAATATACTGTTCAACCCAACAATTAACCTTTACACTCCTAGATAGCTCTTCAAGAAAAAAGAAATCGGGGCGCCTGGGTGGCTCAGTCATTAAGCGTCTGCCTTCAGCTCAGGTCATGATCCCAGGGTGCTGGGATCGAGCCCCACATCGAGCTCCCTGCCCTGCGGGAGGCCTGCTTCTCCCTCTCCCACTCTCCCTGCTTGTGTTCCCTCTCTCGCTGTGTCTCTCTCTGTCAAATAAATAAATAAAATCTTTAAAAAAAAAAAAAAGAAAAAAGAAATCATGTATGTCCACACAAAGACTTCTGCTCCAATGTTCACAGGGCCATAACTCACTATGGTCAAAAAGTGGAAACCAAATGTCCATCAACAGATGATTGGATAAACATAATGTGGTGTATCTACATAATGGGCTACTACATTGCAAGAGGAATAAAGCACTCATACAGTTACAACATGGTGGATCCTAAAAAACATTATGCTAAGTGAAAGAAGCTAGCCACAAAAAGACTACATTTTGTATGATTCTATTAACATCTCCAGAAAGGGCAAATCTACTAGGCAGAAAGCCTATATACAGAGTGGTTACCTGAGGTTGGGAATCAGAAGAGAGACTGCCTGCCAATGAAACACAGGGATCTTTTTAGGGGGACAGAAATGTTATAAAACCGGATTGCAGTGATGGTGGCATTAACTCTGTAATTTTACTAAAAATAATTGTACACTTAAAACATGTCAATTTTTTGGCATGTAAATTATTTCAATAAAGCTACTTAAGTCAAAAAAAGAAAAAAAGAAAAAGCAGCCCTAAGTTTATTTACACAGAATCAAAGGGAAGTATGCACACTTACCGCAGCTGGAGCTCAGACTCCACTAAAAAGCACAGGAACTTCTGCCCACATAGGTCAGATGTAATAAACACTTTTGAGGCCTGTGAATTTTTCTCTCTGTAGCAGATACATTAATAAAATAACTGTCAGCATTAGTTCCAAAATCTGCCACAATAACTCTTAATGAAAATATCCCACAAGAAATCTCAAAACTACGTGGGCCAAGCATGAACACTGAAGACCTTACAACACTTCTAAGATTGGAACTTCATGATCTCTGAGATTCCTTTCAGTTCTTTGATTCTGAGTCCACTCCACAGCTTTTTAGGGGATAAATTATAATAAATTTAATCATTATCAATGACCTTTTTAATTCCATATTAGTAAAGTTATGTACTGCTAAAGCTGCAAACTTGAATTCCTATTCCTTAAAGGATGTAAGGGGTCAGACCTCTTATAACATGACCTCTCCTATCCATCCTCTCTCTCGCAGATTAGGCTCTACTTCATCCCTCTTTCTGAAACCATCTCTAATTTCCAAAGATTTCTTTCTGGAGTGATACAGAAGACCATAATTCTGTAATATAAGAATCTGTAATATAGTCAATTTACCAAGAGATATTTAAAGACAAATGATTTTTAAATGTAGGAAATTCTTATTTTATTTATGAGGAACAAAAACAGAGAAGCTACTTCAACACTGTACTCACCAAATACACCTATCCCCTAACCCCTAAGAACATGTATTTATTTGCCTTCTGTGTCACAGAGAAAATACAGCTATAAGCTTGAGCCCAACCTCCTGCCCTATGTATCTAATAACCATCACTGTCTTTTGTCTTTCTCCTGAAGGCTCATCTCTCCACTTGTGTTCCTTTCTGGTTCCTCGTTCTATCCATCATTTCCTCTCTCCTGTATTTTCAATGCTTTCCCTACACTGAGTATAGTCCTTGCAGCCTACTCTCTCATATTAAGATAAAAATCTTCAAATATGAAGATGGACTGAATAATAAACGATATAAAGGACTTACTGTTAATCGGCTGGGTGTGGTTAGGTAAAATGTCCTTACATTTTAGAGATACGCACTGAGGTATTTAGTCATAAAGACTAATTTTCTCTAATGTAATTCAGCAGTAACAAAACTCTCCCTTGACCCTGAGACTCCCTCCAATTTTGCATCCTCATCCCCATTCAAAGGCAATCCATAAAATAATCTACATGTCAACGTTCACTTCCTCAGTCCCCATTCACGTCTTCCACCCCATTCCACTCCACAGCCCCTCTCCAAATGCTCTGGCCAAGGTCACCAGGGAACTCACTGCCATCCGGGTACCTCCTTTCAGCGCTCATTGCTTAGTGCCACACCTCACCGGCACCTGGCAACACTGGCAGCTTTCTTTTTGAAACGCTCTCTTTTCCAATGTCCCATGAACACTTCTGCTGCTTCTCACACCTGAGCTCTCCTACTCTGTCTCTCTATAGCAGCTTTGTCTCTTTTTTCTTTTTACCCCCAAAAGCTTAAGTTTCTACGACTTCAGTCCCTAGCTCTCTTCTGACTCTACACCGCCAGATCAATTATTTGGAGGTCTCAGACCCCCTATGAGAATCTAATGAATGTAAAACCCTCTCCTTAGGAAAAGTCCGATAAACTAACATGCACATGATTACTGCATGATGCTACGGTACTAGAACCTCTGCAACTGGAAGCTCACCCACAGGCCCTCCAGGAACCCAACGTCTACACACTCCTTAACTTCCAATCCACCTCCCTTGCCTCAATCACCACTTACAAGCCAACCAACTCCCACATTTACTGCTCTGCTCTTTCCCCTAAGTTTATGACCCACATATAAAGCACCTTAACAGCCCTCATCAAATAGCACAGCCCTAAAGGGCAATCTCTCTCTCAAGCCTCCCCTTTCTTAACCCTTGCCCTTCCTCCCAACATAAGCGAAGTGAGAGTATTTTGTACACACCACACACTCATACTTCTGAACTTCGAATTTCTGTTCTGATCCTCCTGCCTACTGTGCCCTTCTTCCCTTTCTTACCCAGCAATACCTATTCATCTTTCCAAAGCCTACCGGCAGAGTAGGCAGTGCCTCTGTGTCACCATCTTCAGCTGTCTCTTTTTGAGGATAGGGACACTGACCAATTTGCCTGTAACCAACAGCCACTAGCACACGCACTGGAACTGGCTAAATGATCAAAGAGAACATAAAAGGAGAAAGGCCACACAGAACAGAGGTCTGAGTTGCATTTCCCAAAAACAACACCTGACACTCAACTAATGTAAAGATAAAACTTTAAAAAAATGCTATAAAACCCCAAGTTTCTTGATCTAGTTGTTCCTCCCTAAAACATCAAACACCTCAAATCTGAGATTCTTACTACTAAAGAAGAAATAGGAAATGATAAAAAATACTTTTATAATCACTTTAATATCATTAATATCCTCTACTGAAACTCAGGTAGCTTTAATATTTATCTCTGTATTTTTATAAACTGATTATATTAAAAGATTAAAAGGAAACTCTAAGCAAAACACCAAGTATTTTCTAAAACTTTTACCAACATTTTTCTTTGAATATAAAAATATATATCCCAAACCTTATATTAGTAATCGTTTCTGTCCATAAATGGTCAATACAAAGCTCAGGAACAATTGGCTCTGTTTCTGGTGCAAGGAAGGAGCCATTAGAATTACTATTTGGAGAATGAGAAATACTATGTCTCTTTGGAGACTGATTATGGCTTGAAAGGTTGAACCTCTGCACCCCTGAGAAAGAGTGCACTCCTAAGGCGGGAGAATGAGCACGACTGCAAATAAACAGAGAGAGGGCATCACAATTAACAAGGCAGGCTGACGGAACATGCTTTCTAATCATACTTTCTTAAAACTCTATGTACCAAGTGCATTCATGGTATAATCCCAATCAGAAATATATTTTTTTAAAAGGGAATAACTACTTAAATGGTTCACATTAATGTGTTTTATTACATTCTAAAGATTTAAAATTCTTGTTAGAATTCATCCTTTAATTTTAAAACTGAAAGTTAGTTCATTTTCTGCCTCAGAACATGAACTGTTTTTATTATTCAAAAAAGTCCAAACTACATTCCTATATATTCAGATATATACATACCAACAAAACTATGTTCCCATATTACCAGACAGATACTAATAAAAATGAAAAAGCTAATGCAAAGACCAAAAAAAAAGAAAGGAAGAAAAGAAAAACCAAAATATTTTTGAAATTAATATTCACCAAATTGCTGCCACTTAGTGATGGAAATGAGGCAACCAATCTTATGACAAGCACAGGCAGCTTCTAAATAGGACTGATTTAAAAAAATTTTACTTAGTAACACAACTGGGATAATCGCTGTTTTCCCTAAAAATATACCCAAGAGCTGTCAACAGAGATTTTAAATCCTTCAAAACATAGAGCGAAAGTTTGAAAAGAAGGTATCTCTTTCTTGGGATATCTTGTTTAAAATAAGGAAACACTTCCACACTTAATTCCCACCTTAGAGCTGCCATGTTGGAAATAGAAGGTGAACGAGAGTGTAGACTGGGTGAGGAGGTCGAGCGACTCTGACTGTGAATGGAGGAGTAATTCTGGAAAGGTGAAGCCACGGGGGAATCTCCTTTGGAGAGGCTTCTGAGGTGTGCTGTGAGGGAGCTACTACTGGCCACATTCTGTGGGGTTCCCCCCTGTTCAGAGAACTTTAAGACAACATTCTCTTCCTTAAGTCAAAATGATGAGAAGGGGGGAAAAAAAGGCAATAATTAGATTAAAAGGGTAATTTCCTGGTGAGAATTCAGGGTAGAAGCCAGTTATTAAAGACACAATATTTCTTTTTTCCTAAGAAGCTCAATGCATTTCACAAATGATTCTTCCAAATACATGTGAAAGCTTTCAGTGTTAACTATCCTTTCATACTAAGAAGTGACTTGCCTTTATCCTTACCTCTGTTTTGACTCTCCGGAGAGCCCACACAGAATGCAAACATTGAACAGTGTCATAGGTCATTATAATGGAGGGGTCAGTGTTGAGAAAAACAATTTTCATTGCATGATCTACAACATATTGCACCCTTGATGAACCAAAAAGACCTTAAAGACAAAATAGTAACGATCAGGTATTGAACCATGAACTTCACAAGACAGTTCTTTATGAAGTGACTTTCTGTAATTCCTCAAGAGAAACGCAGCCAATTAAGACACAAAATCCACTAATATATAATTACCCTGAATTTTTAAGTTTACTTTGGGCATCAACTTCCTCAAAATACATAAAGATAAGAATACATTACCAGTTTCCATTTCACATACATGCCATTACATGCTGAAGATGTGTGCTGACTCACTGTCCCATCGGCCACAGGTAGGTCTGTGACTACTCTACAACTGACTGGTCTATAAACTGCAATCAACTATTCTGCCAAGTTTGACCTCTTGACTGTTTTTCTTCTGTATGAAATCTGTCCTCTATAATAACTATTCAAACAGAGTTAAACAGTACACTATTTACTGAGTATACATGCAAAATAAGTTTTTCCTAGTGAGTTTAGCTTTTACTCCTATAGTACCATGAACTGATTTCTATAACCTTATCTGACAGCTTCCTAAATGCTTCCCTCTCAGTTAAAATATTTTTTTTAATTTTAAGTAACTTTCTTACAAAAATAAAAGGTATTTTTTAGGGCGCCTGGGTGGCTCAGTTGGTTAAGCGACTGCCTTCGGCTCAGGTCATGATCCTGGAGTCCCGGGATCGAGTCCCACATCAGGCTCCCTGCTCAGCGGGGAGTCTGCTTCTCCCTCTGACCCTCTTCCCTCTCATGCTATCTCTCATTCTCTCTCTCTCAAATAAATAAAAAAAAAAAATCTTTTAAAAAAAAAAAGGTATTTTTTAAAGAAATGAATAAAAATCACTCATAATTCCACCATCTCAAAATAGCCACTATTAATATATTAGGGAGTATTCCTTCTAGTGTTTTTTTACTACACGTATACATACACTTTTTATACCTTTATAAAATTAGAATCACTGTATTCAGTTTTATACTCTACTTCACATTACGAATAAGCAATTCCTAAGGTCATTAAATAGTATTCAAAAATGTGATCAATAATCCTTCACACCATTCAGTCATAGGCTCTAACATGTTTATTTAGGCTGTCTGTAATTGTTACCAATATAATACAGAATTATCAACAAACTTTCTTGTAAAAGGCCAGAGAATAAATAGCTTAGGCTTTGTGGACCACATAATGACTGTCGCATAATGTTTTTTTCTACAACCCTTTAAAAAGATAAAAACCATTCTTAGCTCATAAGCCATACAAAAACAAGCTGTTGGCTGGGTTTAGCCCATGGGCTGTAGTTTGCCAAGCCCCAATACAGAAGATTAAAACCTCAGTGGAATTTCAGAATATGTGCTTGGCACAAAGTCCTACAAGTAAAATTGGTCAAAAAATATAAACTTTTTTTCAGTTTTCAAGTCCTCATTATTTATAATCACCTATCATGTTTGGCCACATTTAAATTTTTAAGATCAGCATCTAGAAATACCTGTAAGAAATATTAAAGTTCTGCATCTCGGCAAATTATTTTATTATAAACAAGAAAATGAATTATTAAAATTTACACAGTACAGGCCTAAGAACCTACACTTTTCTTCAACAACAACAAAAAACAATTTTAGTTCATCTAAGTATTGTTCGTTTACTTATTACTGAGGAGTAGAGTCATCTGTAGACTCATCTACAGATAGGCTAGTGAATATATCAATGTTCCTGATTGATTATAGGCCCTATTTTCAATAAAAGAGTAACTATGAAAACAGTTAATACCATGGTATTCAAGAAGTTCTTGCTTTAACATAAATTTTCATAATAAAAATGTTTAAACTACATTATTTCTATAAAACAAGCCCAATTTTCACAAACCTCGTTCATTTCCTCCTATCCCCCAAACTTAAAAAAAGAACTTATATGAAAGAATTTATAAAAATACACTTACTTCCAGATTTACAAACAAGTGGGGTTATTTCATCTAGTGGATGCAGCATGCTGAACATAGTGGGTAAAGGTTCTCTAGTAATAAACAAATAATCAGTCAATCACCAACAAAAAATGATTCCATTTGTGTAAATTTTGCACTTTCTTTGCAAAGAAATATATTCTTCAGATTATATGAGCAACTAGAAATCTACTATCTCATAAAGCAAGCCTCTAAACTTTTTACATGCTATTTTTCACAGTATCTTCTATTTCATTCCTGGAAATCTCTCTTCTTGTGCATGGTAATTCTATGCATGCACACACACATAGGAAAATCAATACAGCCCAGGGAATCTCTACAAATAGCAATCACCACATTACAGAGCCAATGGAGAAATAAGCATAAGGCAGTTTTTGGTTTTTTTTAAACCTCTCTTAGTGGCAGTGTGTCTTTAGCAGCTAAGAAAGAAATTTAGTGTCCTACATCCATTTACAAAAAAGTGTCAAAAAAAAGGGAAGAAAAATTTCAAGTAAATAAAAAGGCTGCATTTTTTTAAGGAGTGATTTAAAAAGGAGAAAAAAACAGGCCTTCTATCTAAACACAGGAAGATTAAATCTATAAGCAATTTTTAAAAACCAGGGTCCTGGGATCGAGCCCCGCATCGGGCTCCCTGCTCGGCGGGAAGCCTGCTTCTCCCTCTCCCACTCCCCCTGCTTGTGTTCTCTCTCTCTCTCTCGCTGTCTCTGTCAAATAAATAAATAAAATCTTTAAAAAAAAAACAAAACAGTGTCTACTACTTGCACCAGACTATGACAGGTACTATATGTTCCTGTCCTTCGATGAGCTCACAATTTATTAGGGACACAAGGTAAACATGCTACCAATAAGCACCTTTCGTTTATTGTGCACCTAACATGTACTAAGTCCTATGTCAAAGATTACATACATCAGCTCATTTAATCTTTGCATAAATCCTAAAAGATAAATGATAGTACTTCTGTAACAGATAAGGAAACTAAAGCCAAGAAAGCTCTAATGACTTGCCCAAAGTAACACAATGAAACAATGACAGCTCTAAGAACAGTCTTTATATCCGTAAGTATGTGTTCATTTAATTTTACTATGGAGGAGAGGAGGGAAGCAGTAGATAATTGTCAAGTCAGAAGTAGACCTCATAAGTGTACAATACTGAGATGAGAGAAAATGGCATTTATCTGTGCTGTTAGCATGGAAATGATCATCATCCCAAACTTTTAGGTAAACATTTTTACCTGAAAACCAACACCAAAAAAGCCCAAATAATAATAAACTGAACCTAGTAAAATGAATACCTGGGTGGACCTGGAGGTACCTCATGTGTAGAACTGCTTCGTTCAAACAACAATCCATATTTGGTGGGCCAAACATTTGCAACCTATCAGGTAAAAGGACAGGAAAAAACAGAAGTAAAAGAAACTACTCTACAGCATGTGCTTAGGAAACCATAAAATATTAGATTTTCTTCCGAATTAAAGCTTTACAAAACAATGTGATCATTAGCAATATTTTTTTATTGCTAGACAAAATCAAATCTAAGAAAGAGTTCAATCAGAAATTCCTGCCACTGGCTAATAACAATACCAAAATGACAACGTGATGAAATTTTAACAATAGCACTAGGTATAAAAAAGATGATGAGAAACAGGAAAAAGACTAATCTTTTTCACGTGCTTTAATATTCCAAAATGATTTCTTTTTATAACTGAAAAAAATCTCTCAGGAAAAAACTCCATAATTCACTTCATTAAATAATTTATTTTTTATGCAAAGGATGGAAAAATGGTAAGGATTAAAACTGTTAAAATTTGAATAAATTTTACTTTATTTAAATTTATATTTTACTCAAATTTTATTTTAAATTTATTTTTATTCAAATATAAAGTTATTTGAATAAAAATGACATTCTTGATTACTACAAAGCATAAGAATAGCAATTCTTCTGCAACCGATTAGTTCAAGAATATTCTACAACAAAACACAAAAACAGCAAAATACTCAATTTACCTGGAAAGGTAAAGAAGCTATGTAATCCTTTCCTTCTATGCTATGCATGTTAATACATGAGCTTTGCAATATACATATGCATTTTTCTACTTCATCACTACCTGAAAAGAAAGGGTACAACAAGATTTATGCATTTTTTTCAAAAAAAAAAAAAATCTCAACAATCACAAACTGCAATTCCCAACAGCACAAATTCTTTAACATACCATTAAAAAAATGCTTAGGCTAAATCACTATTACTAGTGGCTACTTATTTTGAACAACAACAAAAAAACAAGGAGATAAACATTTGGAGTAAGATGAAATAAAATTTCATAAGAAACTTACTGTAGGCCTTCTCAGACTTATCCTGTGATATGATGAAGTCACACCACAATGCCTAAAATCAAAACAAAATGCTTACCTGAGAAAATTCTATCTAAACAATAACCTATTCACTGATGGCATCTGACTAATAACAATGACACCTACATAATACCTGTCCCTCCTTATGAGCTCAATACACATACCATGGGAACAAAAAAGAATAAAACAAAATCATATTAATGATAAATATTATAAGGAAAGACAAACTATGTTTGCAAATAAGTTTTATTTTAAAGATTTTATTTATTTATTTGATAGAGAGAGAGACAGGGAGAGAGGGAACACAAGCAAGGGGAGCAGCAGAGGGAGAGGGAGAAGCAGGCTTCCCGCCGAGCAGGGAGCCCGATGTGGGGCTCAATCCCAGGACCCTGGGATCATGACCTGAGCCAAAGGCAGATGCTTACCCACTGAGCCACCCAGGCGCCCCACGCAAGTAAGTTTTAGAAAGCCAAAGAGTTAGAAGAGTTCAAAATCGTCAAGCTATTTTATAATCTCCACACTTACCCAATAATCTTATTCTCAGACTCTCCTAGACTCATTTTAGAAAAAATCTTTAGAAAAATTATCACTTAATATCCAGTCCATTTGCAACTTTTGCAAATTTTCCCCAAAAATGTCTTTTTTAGCTGATATTCTAGAACCAGGATTCAATCAAAGTTCATTTAACAAGTTTCAAAAACTATTGCATTTGATGTCCCTTTACTCTTTTTTATCTAGAGCCGTCCCCACCTTTTCTTTCTCCCTTTTTTTTCCTCCCTGATTTTTTAAAGAGACCAGAATGTAGACTGTCCCAACTGTTTTCTCAGTGTTTTTTCTTTAAACTTTTTATTATGGGAAGTTTCAAATATGTATTAAGTAAACAGACTAGCAATGAATTCCCATCCGCCAGCTTCAATAATTACCAAGCTTTGGCCATTCTTGTTTCATTTACATCTCCAACTCACTCCTCGTTCCCTGATATTTTAAAAACTGATCCTCTTGTCCCCATATTTCCTCAAATTGAAAGTTAGATCTAAATATTCAAATTAAGTATTTCTGGGAAGAAAACTTAGTAGATGACATCATGTATTTCAGGCTGCATTACAGCAGAGGTGCGTATTACTCCTTTGCCCCACTATCAGTGACAATAAACTCAATCCACTTGGCTGAGGTGGAGAGCAACAGAGACCTCCAAAGGAGCGATATTATTTGTTCCTTCACATTAACAAGTAAGCTACAGGGTGACACCTGGGGGCCATGGTCGCATCCTTTTACCCAACAGTGATGGTGTCCATTTACAATCATTGTCTCAATCAGTTTACACTGGAAATTTAAAAATGGTGGTTTTCTAACGTATCATTCCGTTATTTACTCATCAGCATTTCATAAATAAGGGTTTTCCTTCATTAACTGGAGATGGACTGCATGTCTTCCAAAAAGGCAGGGCATTTGCCTGGCTATAGGTTTAATAGCCAACTACAATGATAGTAAAGCAGATGTTTTTCCTTTCCAAGTATTACTCTGAGCCCAATTTTTTTTATTCAATACTCTGCAATTAAAATCATCATGGGTTAAAATATTTTTGTACCCTTAATGTCTTACAAATTTTTACTGACAATAAATCAAATTAATCAAGGACAATGTTTAAAGATCATCATTTAACTGACAGAAGGACAGTATAAAAAAAGTGAGGATATAGAAAACAAATGACATTTTTATTTTCCTACCATTATCTTCACTACATTTTAAAATATACGTCCAGCTGCTGGGATCGTTAAGCTATGTTTTTATCACTTCTGTTAAATTCTAAGGCAAAAGCTTTTTTAAAAAAAATGTTAAATAGTCAACTAAATGCTAAAATTCAAATCAACTCACCTGTTGAACAGGACTGTCAACTGTAAACGCTTTATAAACAGCCAATGCCTGGCTTTTACTTCCTTTGCTCCAGATCACCATATTTCCAGCCACATAGAGTTCCTCATCATAATCCACTTCTTCCCCAATTTCACTGACGCCTTTCCTTAACTGCCAGCTTTCCTTAAAAATTAATAAATGTAAGACAGGTTAAAGCACTCCCTTTTTCATTAGTATGGAGCAAGATTAATTAAATCAAATGCTCATCCAGACACAAGTCTCCTACTCTCGCTCTGCCTATGGAGTAAGATCCACTCAAACCCAACTCTAAGAATGTCTGGTGCCACTGATTAACAGATTGGGTGTGTATTATAAATCTTACAGGATTTCATGTACAAGAATTTACTCAAAAATTCTCTATATATCAACTGCCTTATAATACATTATTCTGCCAAAAATATAAACAAACAAAAACTATACCTATCTATAGAACGAAACCAACATACTTGGGACACTAAAAAGGTATATTAAGCATATGCAGGGGTGATGGAAAGGGAGTAGTGAGGTACACATGTGAATCACTGGCGGAGTTTATGCATAATGCAGACTTCCCTGTTTCACAACTGCATATACACTCACCTTCCTTCCTTTGTCCAACCCATCAAAATGAATGGGAACAAGAAAGGTTTCGATTTCTTTGGTTTTTTTTAAGATTTTATTTATTTATTTATTTGAGAGAGAGAGAATGAGAGAGAAAACACGAGAGGTGGGAGGGTCTGAGGGAGAAGCAGATTCCCTGCTGAGCAAGAAGCCTGATTTGGGACTCGATCCTGGGACTCAATCCTGGGACTGCAGGATCATGACCTGAGCCGAAGGCAGTCACTTAACCAACTGAGCCATGCAGGGGCCAGAAAGGTTATAGATTTCTAATTACATAAACCTCCCCTCTCTGAGATTTTGGTATCACAAAGGGATAGGAAAAGGGAATAAGGCAGGAAAGACTGATTTTCTGATACATACTTGCATCTCATTCCCCTATTTAAGAATTACTACTCTATCTACTTGTGTATCATTTCTTTTCTCCTCTAGAAACATGCAGGTCTTTTGCAGTAGGGACTGTTTCTAACTCTACCATCTACTCATCAAATAACATGAAATCTGGCCTCTACATACTAAATGAAGAGGAGGTTTAAAATAGACCATAATCATACTACTGAACTTCACAATCATTATGACACCATGAATTACACATGTCTAAATAAAGTTATGACACTATAATAATGTCATTATTTTAGCCTTGATGGAAATTACCAAATCTGAATCTCTAGAAGATGCATCATACATTCTGTTGCATCTGAGTAGTCTTAAATTATAAATAGATCACATCACTCTATGTTTCAAAAACGTAATGGGAAACTTAATGGAACCTTCTGTTTCTCGTGGATTGTAACCTCCTGAAGGGATCCCACCAAGCCAGCAGCACCATCAGAAGACCATAACTCAGAGGCTGGCTGCAGCTGGCGAAGTTGAAGGTTCAAAGCATTAGGGTGGTGCTTGCAGTGGTCTCGACCAAAAGGAACAAATTCCTGCAAATCCCCGGCTGCAATCATCGTTGCCCTTTCTTCATAGAAGTTCGACATGGGTTCCAAATATCAACATTATTTCTGCATGAATTCAAACACATTCTGGTCAGCTTCTAAAGTCAAAACCAGAATAAAAATGTCATAAAAGTTTACAGAAGAGTCATTAATCCTTAGATGAGTGTCAAATAAATCCTATCATATTGTAGGTATACAAGTAATCATAATATCAAAAGGCATTCCAGTTCCATGAAAAGCATCACTGGCATACTGGAATGAACCAAAAATATATTACTAACTCATCAGTAGTTCAAGTACTGCTTTTAGTTGACCAGTCCACAAAAGACCTAATAAACTATCAAGTGTCATCAGCAGTTTTGACACCCCAATTCATTTAAACATATAACTCCAACCAATTCCAATTTTTGGTCAAACCAGAACCAAGGCATGAATAACCCTGGCCATGGAAGAGTTATGCTTGTAGCAAATTTAAGAGTGCTAGCTTTTAATTAACACAATCTAGTACAGTACAGTTCATTAGATGTAGATGAGCTGTGGGTGGAAAAATACCTCTTTACCTCCAAAACATTTCTATATACAGTAATTGACAGCTAATAAAATTCTGATACTCTGCAACGTGGTAAAGTGGATGCCGGTTCTGTCTCTGAGACAACATCTACATTAGAAATAGGTTTTGTTGCATCACATTTAAACTGCAATCCTCGAACACAGAAATCAAAACAAACATTTGATGTCAGCACTACAAACAACCTTTAGTATCTGAAAAGCACTCACAATTAAGAGTTTAATTAAATTTGATTTAGATTTCTCATTTGAGGGTTTTTTGGCATCAGTAATTTTCCTTGCTGCACTATCTCAAAGCCTCTGTAGTTCCTATGCAACAACCAGAGTTGCAAAGCTATTTTGCTGTGAATTAACATTATTCCTGAGACAACTGTATGTCACAATGGTGGCACTTATTTCCTCCTGCTAAAATTCAGAATGGAGAACAGTTGAACTTAGGACATAACTAATAACGTGCCTTATAAAACTTACAAGAAAACAACAAAACTCTGCTGGTCTTCCTATTTCCTAGTCAACAGGATAGCCAGCATTAAACTTGCGACTTTATCCAACTTCAGTTGTGCAATTTCGAAATGTTATTCTATTAAAACTTTGAGAAAATTACATTATTACATAATTATTTTAACAGTGCAGTATCTTTGTGTACGATTAAAACATATTTAATGCTTTTACAGTACCCCAAATTTCTATGTATTTATTAGGGCAACATAAAAAGCTACATATAAAAGTACTATATTACACTGATAAGCTATAAATCAAGTTATCGGCATTGTTTACGATAAACAAAAACTACCCTGCCAAGTTAACCACAAAATTGCTTTAAGAAGAGACCCAAATGCACAGGAAAGGCATCTTGCGTAGAGTCTCCGCAAAAAGGCAGAGTTTCCTCAGCCTCTTTAGGGTTTGGTGAAACCAACAAGCTAAGCCCCTGGGCCTCAAAAAATCCTGTGCGGGAAACAAGGGGCCGATATAGAAGCTGAGGCCCACACGGGACACCGCGTCTAGCTCAGAAAGGAAGTCGGCGAGGAGCGGCGCGGGGAGGTGCACTCCGGAAAGCCCAGTCCGCAGGCCTGGGGCCACTTGGCGCAAACGCGCGCTCAGGGCCTACCCCTAGGCTCCCAGCCCTCCGGTCACCGAACGCAAGTCAACTCGGAGCGGGTGCGAGGGTCACAGGACGTGCGGTGAAGCACCGGACACTGCGGGCCCGGGCCCGCACCTGTGTAACTCGGGACGCGTCAGGCGCGGCGAGCCCCGGCTGCTCCCCGGAGGCGTGGGGCCGAGGGGGCCCGAGGGCAGCGGCGGGGTCGGTCAGGGTGACTCCTCTGCCGCTGCAGCTTCTCATTCCCTCTCCCTCCCCTATTCCGGAGGAAGAATGGGCAGCAGCTGTTGGCTCGGCTGCGATCGACTGGCAGGAGTGCTGGGAAGCCACTCAGGCGAGATGTTCAAATGAACGCGTCCATCTTGGCTTTCCCGTCCTGCCTCGCGCAGGGGCGGGGCAGGGTGGGGTGTCACGGGAGGCGCGCGGCACTACCTCGGTCCTAGCGCCTGCGCAGCTGCGGGAAGAAAGCGCGGGGCCGGAATTGCAGAGTACGTCAACCTCCCTTAGCGCAGCGCGGATCTGCAAAGCCGGCCTGCCTCTGCTGCAGTGTATACGTGATTGGGTACCCCCTGGCGTCCAGATTTTCTCCAGTCATGTCATTACAACTTGAACTGCCTCTTAACTCTGAATTAGGAGATATTGGGGCTAGTTTCACTCCAGTCTCCTGACCCCCAAACGGGAGGTATGTACTTCCAGGCTTGGGGCAGAAAGGGACGTGCTTGATTTTCTGTCTTTGGCAGGGCACTTTAACTTTTTGGGTTCCGGGCCCTTCGAAAAGTTGATGAAAGTTACAGAGGCCCCCACAAAAACGTAGCGTGCAATTTATGAGCTTCACAGACACTTCCCCCAAGGTTCATAGACCCAGGTTAAGAACCTAGCTTTATCCCCCCTTCTGTGTCTGTGGATTCAACTGAACAATACCACACTTACAGAAACTAGAAAACTTTCTTGAGCTCTAATCTCCCATTGCATGGTATCTCTAGGTTAAAAGTATTGATAAGCGTCCTATTGCCTAAAAAATAAAGTTCAAGGTCTTTATCCAGAAATGTAAAGTTGGCTGAAACCTTATGTCCACTGGGATTCCCCTAACACGTTTTGCACTTCGTCGCCCTGGTATCTTGGTTCATTCTCTTCCTTTTATTTGGAATGTCAGCTTCAGGGTTTAGCTCAAATGCGTTTTCTCAGAATTCTTCACTCCAACAGGAAAGAGGCTGCTGAGGACTGAATGTTTGTGTCCCGCCAAAACTCATATGTGGAAACCCAATACCCCACAGGATGGTATTAGGAAATGGGACCTTTAGGAGGTGCTTAGATCATAAGGGTGGAACCTTCATGAATGGGATTGTGTACTTTTAAAAGAGAACCCACAGAACTCCCTGCCCCTGCCACCAAGGGAAGACACAGCAAAAGACAGCTATCAATGAACCAGACAGCAGGTGTCACCAGACACTCAATCTGCCAGCACCCTGATCTTGGACATCTCAGACTCCAGAACTGTGAGAAATAAATGTTTGTTGTTTATAAGCCAGGCAGTTTGTGGTATTTTTGTTATGGCAGCCCAAATGGACTAAGCCAGAGACTCTTTAAGAAGTTTGTGTGGACCTGCCTTTAACTATAGTCATTTGCCTGAAACCAAACTATCCCGACTTCCCTGGCCTGATACGGGGAACAAATTTTGATCAACACAAATTGACCAGTAGGAACAAGGCCAGAAGGAGCCAGACAAATAAATTCCCTTTTCTTCTACCCCAGGTGGACTACTGAAAGGCATGGTTTCTCTACACCACCTGTCAGGAGATGTGCGTGGCTGAGTGGGCCACCTGTCAAGCAGACTCCTGATGTTTTGGCAGCCTGTGTGAAGCAGCACCAGTGCAGTACTTCTCATCCTTCCTGCTTCCTTTCCCCTTTCCTTCCTTGTCTCCAGCTGGGACATCAGCACTCATCAAACTTGCCTCCAGCTCTGTCTCTTAAGGAACACAGGCAGCACAATCCATAAAGAGTTTCTTATCCTGCTAGTTATTCAATCTGTAAAGCAGAGTCACTGAAAGGTTTCAACTCAGCTCTCCATCCTGAGTGTTCCCCTGCTACTCACAAATTCTCTCAAGATGCTTCTCTGCAGCCTTAGCCCATGATGTCCTCTGTGAAGACTCCAAGGGCGATGTTGACATTGCCCCTCCAGTACTCCCAAAGACCTTCCGGCCTCAGGTGCCAGAGCAGGGCTGTGTTCCCTGCAGAGTGGCCGAACATATCATTCTCTCCCACTGCAGCACTCCAGTGTCAATAACAGCGCTGCTTGCTCTCATGGTCTGACAAAGTCTCTTAAGAAAGCAAATCTGGTTTCTGCCACTAACCCCTGCTCATGGGGGTCCAGACCACAAATCCAAGGGTTTCAGAGAACAGTCATCTCCTGTTATCTCCATCATCCTCCCATTCTCTTCTGCTAGCATTTGAGGCATCCCTTGGCTCAGAACACAGAAGCCCTGATATAGACTCCTACAGGCAACTGACTCACTGCACTTCTGCCATGTCCTCCAAGCAAGCATGGATTACCTGTAGACCTCCTGAGATTGCATTTTGGATACAGATACACGTATATCCAGTATTATAAAGTAGACCTCTTTTGTTGGTGTACTTATCCAGTAATTAGCAAAATTCTCCATATATAATTGGTGTGCCAAAAAACTTGAATAAAATCCATATTTGTCACTTTTAATCTATTTGTGACAAAATATACAAGTCTCTGCCTTAGTAGCTATTGCTACATAACAATATTACCACAAAATGTGTGGGTTAGAATAACATATATTTATTATGTCACAATTTTTGTGGGTCAGGAGGACCGGCCTAGCTGGGTCTTCTGCTTAGGGTCTCACAAGACTGCAATAAAGGTGTTATTTGGAGTATGGTCTCATCCAAGTCTCTGTTGGGGAGAGTTCTGTTCTCAAGCTCACTCAGAATTCAATTTTTTGTGGTTATAGGACTAAGTCTTCATCATTTTGCTGGCTGTCAGCAAGAGGCTGTCCTCAGCACTAGAGGCCACCCACAGTTCCTTGCCACATGGGGTTCCCCAATATCATCAAAGCATGCAAGCCAAGAAGGCAATAGCGTTTACTCGCAAGAAGTCAGTCACAATCTTAGTCTACCCACAAAAGTGGCATCTCATCACCTTGGAGGGTTGGAAGGAAGTCACACTCAGGGGTGAGAGAGGATTATATAAAGAAGCAGGGAGCATTGGGGGCCTTCTCAGAAGCAGCCCACTACTGTCTCCAATATCTGTCTAGTAAGTATAAGGCCTTAGACTAGCCATTTTAGCTGAGAGTGAAATGTATGCCAGGTTCTTCCTCTCTTCTGAGCTCTTGCTGCTGCCTCCCCTTTC